GCTAAAGAGTTTGATATTTATTCATTTGGAAAAGTTATATAGAAATTTTATATAGTAAACCTGTACTTTTAGAGCAAAATCCAAATTATAGTTTCAATTACAAGTATGTAAGGGTTTGTTTACGAAAATATAAAATATAGCAATATGCTATGTGAGGATTTATGAATATTTGTTATTGCATAATATCTCTAATTTTAAAAAGATATAAATTTTTAACACAAAATGAAAGCTAAGCGAAGTTAAAAATATTTAATGGCCTCATGTTTAATTGGTCTGTGATCATTCTTGGATCATGCTTTAGAAATTTCTAAAATCTATCGATCGACATTTCATTACCATAAAAGGTGTGGTTGGCACTATCCATTTATGGTATATTCTCTGACTGTATTAAATAGGGTTTGATTTCATGATCATTTGTGACAATTATTTTTATTGTTTAAAGCATAGCAGATGTTCTAATTTTTATGCAAAATTAACTGTTATCTTTGATATTTTTTTAAAAATGTGGCTTTGAATTTTTTGTTATGCACTATTGCATTATGTGATAGACAAAGACAACACTTATATATAAAGATACTCTAAACAATAAAAATAAATAAAAAAAGACATTGTTACTTCAAAGAGCATGCTAAAATGAATCTAACAAATATATTACACTATCGCTAATTTATTATTATTTTTTTTTGTTATTAAGGTAAGGCCTTGCTCATATCTTTATTTGGTAATTTATTTTAATAAAAACCCAACTTGTACAAGACAAATAGATATAAATTACATGCAAGAATAAGAGCTTAGACTAAAAGATTGGACTAAAGAAAACTAAAAACTCAAACTAATTATCTGCGACCTAAACCTACTATAATGGTCAAGACTCACCTAGATTACTATTGCTAATCTATAAAAAATTTAATTAATGATTTTTACTATCTATGTTTGTAAATAGGCTTATATGATACACTCAATTGACTATAATTATAGCCATTGGCTAAGCAACTAAACTATCTCTAGCCAAACCTACTGCCAGAAACTTAATTAGATTTCAGAATCGGTAAATATATTCTTCTAGCGACAACAGTAGAAAATAGATTAAAATAGATCTAGTAGTCACATTATAGTATGTTGAATACAGTGCATGACAAAAGTTTCCCTACACTCATAACTTAGCATAGAGATATGGTAGGAAAAAAATTTTTTTATTTAAAAGTATATTAAATTACATGAAAATTAATACATAGTATAATTGCTCTAAATTCAATTAGGGCCTCCACATGACACCTCATGCTTCTTACCAAATTAGCCACATACTTCTTAGGCAATTGATTCCATTCTTTGGTTATCTGCACCTTCAGAGTACTAAGCTTTCTAATTTTTTTTTTTGCCAGATTCATTTTTATAAGTTCCCAGACATTCTCAATTAGGTTTTGGTCGGATAACATTGATAGCTAGGAGAGAACTGCGATGTTATTTTCCTCTTTCTATACCTTCGCAATTTTTGAACAGTGCTTTGGATTATTGTCCTCCTGCAGAATTCAACTATCACAACCTTCACCAAAAAGGTCCACAGCAGAAGATAGATCATATATTGTGCATTAAGGTTATGTGTAAAACAGACTAACTTTTCAAAGCCTGAAGAAAAAACACCTGCATATGTGAACCTTCAACAGATGCTTGATAGAATGAGTTATTTTCCTTGCCCTGACAAACTGCCAAGCCTTTTTTAACTGTTGATTCAAGCAGAATATACTTTTATTAGTAAATATTATGATGTTCCAATCAAAATCCTTAAGTTTCTTTGCCCACAAGAGCTGTTTTTTCTGATGCTTCTCTCCAAGCAACAGCTTTACGAGTTTTCCATAATAGCAAGCCCACCTTCATAAAGGCACCATTGAATGGTGTGCACATGAATGTCTATGTTCTGTTTAAGAAACTCATGGCAGATTTCTGGTGCTAAAATATCTTTTGCCAGCTTCAAAATCCAGTTGTCTTGTCTTTGGATGGTGACTCTTTGATGACCCAACCTTGGTTTGTCTAAATTTTGCTTTCTTGCTATCTTTTTGCCCATTCTCATGCTGTTTTTTCATCACAGCAAACCTGCTTCGCTGTCTCACAGAATGAAAGCTTGGGGATCTTCAGGTGGCTGGTTAAAAAGGCGATTTCATATCACTTATGCAAAGGAAGAGGTATTTTTTTGATTGAAACTTGGCATATAAGCAGCGTGGGCATTTTTATTATATACAGTGCCCGAAGAAGTTTAGTATGATCTGCATACGCGATGTCCCTTGCCTGTATGAAATTTCGGAAATTACAGGTGCGGGGAAACTTTTGTCGGGCACTGTAGCATAGATTGAACAAGTTTCACTCTTGGAGTTCATACATTTAGTGAGTTTAATAATCATATGTTTTTCAATATATCCTTATACTGTAATATAGTCTAGCTTATTCGGTTTAGATTATATTCCCTTTTGAATACCAAAAAGTTTTCTTTGGGCAATTTTATTATATTACCACCATACTTAACCCTAATATAATTTCCAACCTAACGACCAAATTTTTCGATCTTTATGTACCCGAGATTTTTGTTGACCACGTTGGGAAATATTATATATTTGAATAACCTCATGCGATCATAACAGGGTTTATAAAAAAGACATTGAAATTTCATCGCCGGCAAGAAGTATTCGAATTACTGATATTCCGGTTTTTTTTCATCATTTTCAAGCTTATCTTTTTAATCGTGTTTTTTATTAATAGCACACTTTTTTTTTTTCTTATTGAGATTATAATGCTTAATCATGTAAACAAATATCATTGACTAATTTGTTATTTAAAACTTTATAAGGAATAAAACTCTTACTATACCCAGTTTGGTATAGAATTTTATGATCGTATTTATTTTCAATTGTAAATTTTACCGCCTCTCGTTTTCATTTATTAGTGTTTACCACCTTTCATTAATTCACTAGTTTAGTCAGTTTCGCATTTTTCTATTCAGAAATTTTAGCAAAGTCAACGACTTTTACCAACGCAAAGCCTCTAGCTTTCGCCTAATAAATATAGAAGGAGGCATTTTTCTTGGTATAAGTCCAATCGGATTGCGGTATTATTTCCCGAAAGTTATTTCTCCGACAACTTATTTCCCCGACACCTTAATGACGACATGCTATTTCATCTACAGCAAATTTTTTCGATAAGACATTACATGTTTTTTACAATCTTTTTCTTAGACAAGACATTTCCCGACATATAATTGTAACCAACTTAACCAAACCCTAATGCTAAGTTGGACAGTTTTATGTCGAGAAAATGACAATCTGAGAAATGTCTTATCTCAGAAAAGGGGTGTTGAAACATGTAATGTCGAATATATACTTTATTGAAAAAATGTGCTGTAAATGAAATAGCATGTCGGCATTACGTTGTCGGGGAAACAACTTTCGAGAAATTGAGCGACAATCGTCGATGATTCGGGATAATCGCTTAGGGACTTAGTCAATTAAGTCGGTCGATTTTTGGAAAATCGGCTTAATCGACTCTTAATAAAAATAGAATAAAAAGAATTAATCTTATGATTTCACATTTAAGTTATAGAACTCTTAATCAAAAATATGTGTTGCAATGGATTCGGAATTCTGTGAATTCAGAATCTACCTGAGTAGATTTTGGATCTTAAAGACAGGCGTAAATAAATTTATTATAACTGATAATAATACTTTACATCTTGAATTATTTCTTTGATCAATTGATTGGTATTCTTGGATCGATATTTATATTTTATTATTTAGTCGACTAAGCCGGCTAAGCCGATTTTTATAATATCGACTTAGTCGATAGTTTAGTCTTCGAATATAATATTACTTTTAGTATTATGTAAAGATAATAATTCTTTGCTAATTTTTACTATAAATTTTATATTCTTAATGATTTATCACTTAATCTTTATAACTCTATTAAGTTTTTTATATATATTACGTAATAAAAAAAAATTACTATCTTTTAACAAGATACTATATAATTTGTCAATTTGTCAAACTAATTTTTGGTTGTTTTTTTTTATTACGTAACTCTTTTAATAATACCAGATTATTATCAAGACTGGGCTTAAAGTTATCAATATTTACAATACATATACATTTTGGTTAATAAAAAATATACTGTAATATTATTGCCAATAAGATTAATTTTAATTTGTTTATTAAGCATAGTAAAAATATTTATCAGCATGATTAGCAATCAAGATTAAATAATCTAGAGAAAAAAATATACTAATAATATAGATATATTACTATATATAAAATAGCAAACATAATTTTTATATATACTTTATAAATATTACTGTTATAGAAATAATTTGGTTTATAATAGGATATATCACAGGTAGAACAATAGCCCTTTTTATAAGTATTTTTTCAAAATCTTTGGTGTGATATGCAGCTTTTCCAAATATTTTTTTCGTATCTCTTTCACAGGTAATTTAAAAGTTTGGAAAATATTTATAAGATATTTAGCAAGGTTGCATACGTATCACATCAAAGGTTTTTGAAAGAGTACTCGTCGAAAAGATTTATTGCTCTACCTGTGTATTAAAATTTTAATTTGAATTGGCAATTTATTATTAAAATATTATAAAAAAATTTTTGCAGGTTTTTTATGTTGATTAATATACCATTAGTAAATATAATTATAAATTTGGCATATTCTGCAAACTATTTTTATTACGTAGTTGTTATTCTTTTACAATTATATAATTGATATTTTTATATTTTATATATAATCTAAAAAAATATATCTGATATATATATATTTATATATATAGAATAAAAACAAGCATTTATCTACATGTAGCACAAAGGTCAAGTAATCCAAAAATAGCTCTTCTACCGAAAATGCTCTGCGCATATTGTACAGTACGTATGACAATTTTTTTGTGTCATTTAATTTCCATTCCGAGATCCGATAGATGCGATTTTTTATAAATTGTTTCTTTGGCTATTTATAAAAAAATGTCGTCAGACAACTTATATAATAGGTGCGTAAATATTTTAAAATATATGTTTTATATGAGGACTGGTCTAGGAAAATGACAGTCTGGGAATTTGAGAATTAATTTTAAGCCGGTTTCAAAAATGTGTGAACAACGATTTCCATACCTATGTGGGAAATCGAAGAACTATTATTCATTGATTATTTTCATTATCATAAAGAGAATTAGATGATGATGATGATGATGATGAATATGTCATGCGTCTATCATTTAAAAATTTGACAAATGGAAATTTAAACTAATCACAAATTAAGCAAATAAATGACGATTTTGCCGTAGAAATTATTCCTAGGCTGTATTTGGGAAGGTTGTAAAAATTTCTTTTTTATGTTAAAAGTTGAGCCTAAAGTTGATATCGTGATTTCTTTATTGAATACAGTAAGCGAGCAGCTTTAGATGAAGATTGGTTAAAGTATAATAAAATTACAGATATTCTTACTGTTGCCCAAGATATTAAGCCACGTTTTCCTAAGGTACTTTACCAAATGTTATTTTTCGTTTTTTAACTTTGTCAAAAGTATTAATAGTTCAAACATTTGGTTTAAAATAGTCATTCGTGTATAAAGTCATCCCAATAAGAGATAACGAATCACAAGATATATCAAAATATTTCGAAGAGACTTTTATGTTTATACAGAATGTTTTAGATCAAGAAGATAGAAGAATTCTCGTTCATTGGTATGTTTAACTTTAATATTAGATTTTGTTAAAATTATTTGTAGTAACAGATGTTTTATCTAATAGCGAAATGGGAATGTCACGTAGCCCAACTGGTATGCACTTAAGCGATAGATTAACCGAGTAAATTTTAATATTTTCAACTTTGTCTTCATTTTTTTCTCGAAAAAAGTTGTTATTGCTTATATTATGAGATCTCAGAAGAAATCACTAAAGGAAGCGGTAATCTTTGTTAAAGAAAGAAAATCCTTTGTTCGGTTAGTAATTAACAAGTTTTCATTTGAGACATTTATATATGGTACGATTACTAGATTTAACATGTCCTATTTATCATAGACCAAATTCAGGTTTTTATAGGAAACTAAAAGAATTTGAGTCAGAATTATCGCTTAAAAATGATTCAGATTCAGAATCGGAACTACTGAACCAACTTGGTAAAAATATTTTAATCGATTAGTTAGGTCAACTTGCATAAATTAGTTGCCACATATTTTTTAATTAATTTTATTCAATCTTTCGAAATGTTAAAAATATTTTGAATTTGCGTGTGAAAAAATAGTAAATAGTTCTATTTTTGTATATATATTTTTGAGTAAATATGTGTGGCGATATAAGATGAATAGTTCTAACCATAGGGTGTGGTGACCTTACCTGTCGAATAGATGGAATTGTGGTTCAACAGTGGGATGTTTTGTTTTCAACTTATGGGCGGAATTTTTTGATTTGTTTATTATTAAAAATTAAATGATAAAATTTTAATTCGATCACTTATGTGTTATTGTGCAATTACCGGAATTAAAATGTAAAATTGAATTGTTATAAATCATTTAATTTTTATTACCGATTTTAATTTAAAAATTGTGTAGTTATGAACATATTCATATAGATTTTAAGCCGACATCACTAATAATCACAAAATTTTCATGAAAAAATTTCTATTATCAAACATTTTTGATTAACAAAGTGGGCACGACTTTATTCTAAATTTTTATTTGCTATACTAAAATACAAACTACGACTATATAAGATAACCAATGAACTAATCAAAAACGACTATCGATGTAACTTTTATATCACTTTGAACCACTTTGATTAAACATAAAATGTCCTCCGCTACGCTCTAAACAATCGCAGTTGTATTTTATTTAGTGCATGAATTTTTCTTTGAAAACTCCAAACAACTTCGCACACTTGGTTACAACTATCTACATGGTATAAAAAGAAAGACGAAAAGAAGGGCTTTTAATAATATATGAAAGCAGCTGAGTTAGGAAATTCGGTTGATGTTAGTCTTTGTTATTTTTGTGGAACTGGGGTAAAAATAAATCATCAGAATTCATTTGAACATTGTAAGAGTTCCACTGACTTAGGTAATACTGAGGCAATGTCTAATGATGTCAATATTGAATTGGGATTGACAAAGATTATGATAAAGCATTTGAATACCATGAAAAATCTGCCAATATGGGTAATAGATATGCAATATACTGTCGATTTTATCGAAACAGTACCGATGCAAAAAGAGATATTCAGAAGGCAAATTATTGGTTTAGAAAGTATAGAAGTCTTTTGAAAAATAATAAATCCCCAGATCATATCAATCCTGAACTTAAGATGATGAGAGATTTAAATTATCTTGGATTGATTATAATGAGTTCAAAATTATCCGGGAAAAAAGAAAAGGTGGATTCGCGACTGTATATTAAGCACGTTGGTTCGATAGAATTAATAATACGCAGAATACCATTGCACTTAAGGCCATTCGTGATTCAAACAAAAATGAGCAAGAAATTATACAGGAATTGAAGAATCACTGTGCAATTGGTTACGCGAGTCCTTCATTCTTGAATTGTTTTGGGGTATCAAGAAATCATTATGGTAATTATATTATTGTTATGGAGATTGCATCAAAAGGCTCGTTACGACAAAATCTTGTGGAAGCGTCACAATTAGAATGGAAAGATAAATTGAATATTTTATACGGTATAGCTTTGGATCTCGAGTCGATTCATTCGCAGGAACTCGTTCACAGAGTAACACAGCGGAAACATTTTACAAGGAGAAAATCTGCAATATTTATATATTACTGAACTTGGACTTTCTAAAAATGTAAAGGAAGGAAAAATTTGTGGAATTCTGCATATATAGCACCTGAAGTTTTTGTTAGATATTTACAGTCTTGGGGTTATCGCGACGGAGATTTCGACTGGACAAAAAGCATTTGATGGAATTCAGTTTAATGGTGAACTTGTATCAAGACCTAAATGTTTAGGACCAGATTGTTATATTAAATTAGCTATTAAATACGTATATGGATAAATATTTTGATAAACGACCTACTGCAACTGAAATTATTGAAATAATCACTGATTAGTTAGATGAAATTGAACGGGAAGGTGATAATGAAATCAAAAAAAAAAACAAAATTGGAAGCTAACAATATTAAATCAGAGCCGATTAAACAAATACATTCTCAAGAATTGTATACTAGCAAGCTATATGATATGAATAAAATTTCAAAATATACTAGTAATCGATTAACATAATAGAAATCTTAAATTATATAAAATATTTTCTACAATGCCTAATTTCATTATAAATATTTTCTTTCCGCTTAGTCTGATTATGATTCTTATTACTTGGTTTAATGGGCTGTTTCTTGGGATATGAAGTCTTTAAATGATGGAGTTCCGTTTGATGATTATCTTGCATCAAGGATTATCGATAGATAAAGGTCTAAATGTTTAGGGCATAATTATTATATTAAATAATTATGAAATTTATGGATAAAGATTTCGAGAACGACTAATGCAACAGAAATTATTGAAATGAGTCGGAAGAGATAATGAAAAATTAAAAAAAAATTTGAAAGCTAATAAGATCAAACCGGAATGATTAAACAACCAATTCCAAGACATGTATATTAGCGCGATGCGTGATGCACAAAAAATTTCAGATTGCATAAGTAAACTAAATGGTGCAGTACAATAAAACTCCCGAGCAAATTCTCAAATTTATTATATAAAATTTGTGTTTATGTACTGTACTTAAGTGTAACTACAGTATAGTAATAGTTATTAACCATTTTTACAATATTTAATCATCATTATAATATTCTTTTTTCAAACCATAAATTTTAAATTATTCTCATTATTGTGGTTTAATAGTTTTTTCTTAGGGTAAAAGCCATTTAAAATTACATTGAAGCTCTGTCTCAATATTCTTCTGAGCTATAAACTGTGCACAATAATGAGTATATACCTTTTGGGTACGGTACAGTACAAAGTATCCGGTAGGGTACGGTACAGGAAAGTGACCGTACCCAGATAAATTTTTTTGAGCAGGGTACACAAAAAAAATAATAGTTACCGTACCAAGTTTTTTTTTTTGGTGTTAGGTACGCAAAAAAAAATATATACTTAATGAAAAACTTTACCGTACCCAAATCTAATATTAACAATTTGGGTACGGTATGAAAAAAAAATAGGTAATATAAAAAAAAAGTGTA